CCAGGTACTGCTAGATCCATGACTTCTTTCCATCTAGTTCAGTCATTAATGAGTACTTCTTATATGTTATGTTTTGCCTAAGGCAAGCTACGCTAATGGCAGTGTGATGATATGTGTGTGAGATATATGGTATCTCTCTTCATTTCTCTTCCAAGTTGCTCCAGTCATTGAATGCTCAGGTGCATTTCAATCAGAAGGAAACAAATTAATGGACTGAATATTGGACGTGCTCTGACATTGAAAACAGGACTCCATTTGTAAGCTAACATCAATGAGGCAATAGAGAGGGGATGAAAGTTTCTTTTCTCATGGCACATGTTATCTGATGAAATACCAAACAATAATATATTGATTTCAAGTAAGGTCAAGGCAATAATTTCCTTTCATCTAACATATTACATTATATATAATATTATTATTATTATTATTATTATTATTATTACAACATATTGCCATAGACCAACAAACAAGCAGGACTGAGGTTAGCTTATAAAATGTGCTGATTTGTTTTTCCATTGTTCATCTATAAGAAGGTACCCATTACTATAAAATCTATCACTTTGTCTATAATGCTGTTACAATTGATTCAAAGGGTAAAAATAACAAATAATTGTTTATTTTTAAAAAAAGTAAACAGTTCATGCACTAACTGGTCACTTCATTAGGTACACATGCTAGTCCTGGGTTGGACCGCTTTTGGCTTCAAGTGCAAGGTGCACTTGAAGCCAAGGTGCTGGAACATTCCTCTTGGATTTTGGTCGATATTGAAAATATATCATTACTCAGTTACTGAAGATTTGTTAGCTGCACATCCATGCTGTAACTCTGCTGTTCCACCACATACCAAAGGTGCTCTGAGATTGATTGGTGACCATGGAGGCCTCTGGAGTACAGGGAACTCATTGTCATGTTCAAAAAAACCAATTTGAGATGATTTCAGCTTTATGACATGGTTTGCTATGCTGCTGGAAGCAGCTATCACAAGATGGGTACACTTTGGTCATAAAGGGATAGACATAGTCAGCAAAAATACTCGGGCAGAGCTGTGATGTATTGCTAACTTGGTACTAAGAAGCCCAAAGCATGACAGGAAAATATCCCCCATGCCATTGCACAACCACCAGACTGAGCTGTTGTAATAAGACAGAATGGAACCATGTTTATGTCAAATTCTGACGCTACCACCTGAATGTTTTGCTGTAGAAGTCAAGACTCTTAAAACCAGGGAACATTTCTGCAATCATGTATTGTCTAATTTTAGAAACTGTAGCCTCAGTTCCCTGTTCTTAGCTGACTAGCTGTCCTTTAAATCACCTTTCTTCCCCATTCTGTTAAATTTTATTTATATAGCACCAATTCACAACAGCAGTATTATTGTAGAGACCCTACAAAAATACAAACATTACTCCATTTAAACTTAAATAGGTCATCTTGATCATCTCTATATACCTTGCCTTGAGTTGCTGCTGTTTGGCTAATTAGATATTTGTGTTAACGAGCAGCTGAACAGTTATACCTAATTAAGTGGCCAATGTATATTATCACCAACATTAAATGTAAAATATAAATTAAACTATTATTCTTGCACACTGTACTATTTGGCATTAAATCCACTTATATTCTATTCTTAGCCTCTACAATGTGACAGCTTACTGATTGTCCTTATTTATGTCACTGCTGACATAATATTCAAAATTTAAAATAACCTTACCTAAGGTTACATTAGATTAAATGATAATAACAATAATTGTGCTTGAACGTGACCTAATTTACAGTGAGATATGGTGCAGTTACATAAGCATAGTAGTTATTATTGGAACTGTGTTGATAAGTTGATTAGTTGAGCCACAAATAAACCAGTCTTTTGTTCCTTGTTTCATTAATTTTACAGACCAAAACTGAAATGATTGAGAATATAATTTTCAATTTTTAAAAAAAATGTTATTCTGACACAGACTTTAAATGTTATCTTCTCAGATTTAAAGTCATTTTACTGTTCTTATTTATTCTGTGCCTGCCAACTCGGTATATAATCAGTGACCGAGAGGATGGATTTTAAGATGATATTATTCCTGGGTGAAAGGCAGCAGAACACTTTTATGTTCTGTTTATGTGATGAACAGCTTGGGTTCAACCGTCCGTCCCCGAGGCAGCAGTGAACCAAGCCCTGAGCAGTTCACTGGTTAATACTCCCTACAGCTGGGAGGGGAGCGCTGCAGCTGTCTCTCTATAATACTGACTCCATTCTTCCTTCTTCTCTTCAGCCAGCAGTCTCACATGGAAAGAGGGTTGGCTGAGTATATAGGGAAAGCACTGTGGAGAGTCAAAATAATAAAAACACACAACATATTAAAATAGAGGTCACGTATGAGAAACTGTTACTTTTGTTGAATCAAAAAATAGCAGAGACCTGATGAGGAAAAACTTAAGCTAGTCAAAAGAAAGATTGACTCTTAAAGTACCAACATATAAATACTAGTGAGTAAAAATCTATGCATGAGAGGATTTATCGTCTGATTCGAATATCGTTCCTGCAAGAAATAACAGATTCTGATTTGTTGGAAATGTGTGTTCATTTGAATACTGTAGTCGACTGTGGTTTAATTATCTTTGTAAATCAGTGATTATGGTAACCAAAGAGTGAAAAACCTGCTCTCGTTTCAGTCTTTCTTTTTGTTTCCATTGAGATTCGTGTTGCAGTGTTTCATTCTGGAAATCTGCTGCTCTATTCTAAAGGGAAAAACAAAACACAAATGGTCCTCATAGGCTTTTTTTTTTTTTATCAAAAGCGCTGTTATTTTTTCAGCTGTTCAGTAAACTAAAAATGTCTCATTAAACACTTTTGAAAGTGATGGACAAGGAATAAGTTTTGCTTAATTCGGTTTGAGGAAAGTGTGAGGGGAAAAATGCACTTACTTTTTCCCATAGTAACAGATGCACATTGCATTACAATACATTTTTGTATGTATTTATTTTATTGTATCTTTAATAAAGTTAAACTAAACTATTAGGACAAGATCTAAGCAAAAAACCTAACCAGAATTTTCACTTCAAAGATGTAAGTTAGTTAGGCTACGTTCACACTGCAGGTCTTAATGCTCAATTCCGATTTTTTTGATCAAATCCGATTTTTTTGTCTGCTCGTTCACACTACAAATAAATTGCGACAGCAAACGCGCTCTAGTGTGAACGCTCAAAGCGGCCCGCATGCGCAAAAGAAGATGTCGCACACAACGCGCTCTGTTTAGACCCAGAGCAAACAATATTGTTTGACTGATGGCCCTTAATATAAAGACTTCGGACTTCACGTTTCCCAATTTTTGCTTTAAGGTATTTTGTTATTTACATAATAATGTAGATAACCTAATAATTATCCTTATTGCTGTTTTAGAGAGGAGCGGTGCTTCAAAGTATAGTCAGAATCTGCAGATTATGCAGTACAAATAAAATGTTAACGTTTCTCCAATGCTGTCTTCCCAGCAGTTTCACCGGATGGCCAGGAAGCGTTCGCGATGTCTTCTCAGACGCTGATAATTGGCGTCTGTCTTGTGTCAGTGACGTAAAAGACGGATTTAATGCGACATGACCGTTCACACAGCAGTCGCTTTCTGAAACATCGGATTCAGTACCACATACGAAAGTGACCCAGATCGGATTTGAAAATATGGATTTGTGCTGTTCACACTGTCATACCATGATCGGATATGGGTCGCATAGGGTCAAAAAAGTCCGATTTGATGCGCTTTCGCCTGCAGTGTGAACGTAGCCTTAGAGCCACAGACTATGCTGAAAGTTAATCTACATTAAGAATAAATCTAATGGCAGACATTGCATTTATTTGCATGCTAAAGCCCATTCATAATTGTTTTGTTTTTATATTTTCACATATAGGCATTTTTAATTTTTTACAGAGAGGATAATCCTTACTACTCGCATCTGTCCTCCTCCGAGTAAATACATTAAATCTTACACCCACACCAGGTTATAACCCATTACATTATTTTAAGCCTCCCCATCAATTTTGATGCATTAGGAACAATTTTGGTGGAATTGAAGGAACAACAAAATGTCTCATTATCTGGACTTGACAGTATTCATACATTTATGTAGTTACACCAGGTAAATGATCATAATTAGATTCTTGTTGTGTGTTACACAGGTGTAGTAAATTACAGCAAGCACAATTTCATTTCTATCCAAACAAAACTCTTCCTTTTTAGTGAACTGAACTTTCAATTTTATATATATGTAAAAATTTAATTTTATATATTTTGTCTATATCTCGCTCTATATACCTCTCTCTCTATATCTATCTATCTATCTATCTATAATCGATGGATCGAGATAGAGTGTGTGTATCCCAGTATTAGCCAATTGTAAACTCATTCCTCAATCAGTCACAACAGTATGATGTTTAGAAATTGCATAAGCTTTTCTTCTACTATATTGCATCTTTAAAGATGACTCATTAATTTGCTGCAGTTCTGCAAACAATTAAATGGAATGAATGAGGATGATACTCTGTTGCCCTCCCCCATAATTTGGAGGATTTGACCATGTGTAAAATTTTCATGAGCTTGTTTCTTTTTTATGGGCCTGCTTATTAAGAGTCAGAAAAAGATCCAATCGGCTGGCGTGATCAAATCTGTGTTCAGGGTGGACGTGATAGTCATATTAAAACTAGAATGGCAGAAAATTAAGTAAACACTGTGGCCCTGGCTGGCTCAGCACACATACACTATAAAAGCAGATAGGATGCTGATTTAAAACGAGTTTAACACATCATTTTCATTAGATAGCTTTGCAGCTTCTACTGGACAAAGTAGATACTCGTTTAAAAACTCCTTGACCAACACATGGGTCATTGAATACTCTAATTATAATGATGCACAGCAGATGTCTCTTGTACTGTACATGCCACTGCCCACACATAAAAATCTGTAATGCAAAACAGTGTTAAACTGTTTGTATCATTCATTTTTGGTTTTTGCCTCTTGCAGATGTACATTCAAACAACCACGCTGACGATCTCTGTGAGCCTGAGTGCTTCAGTGTCCCTCGGGTTGCTCTACATGCCCAAGGTCTATGTGGTTCTTTTCCACCCTGAGCAGAATGTGCCTAAGCGCACACGGACCCTCAAGGCTGTGGTTACTGCTGCCACCATGTCCAACAAGTTCAACCCCAAGGCTGGACTCAGACCCAACGGAGAAGCCAAGACCGAGCTGTGCGAAAGCCTCGAAACACAGTGTAAGAGCAAAAATGCAAATGAGGAAAGCTTTGACTAGAAACCTGCTGGCTTAAGTTCAGGAATGTTTTGTCCTTCCGTGTCTGTAAAACAAATTGATGCAATGATAGGATGCAGTGTGAAAAAAAAAAAAAAAACCTTATTAACAAATGTATAGCATGTTATTTAACACTTCATTGAATCTAGTAAATGTGACACTGTTATTCATTTGGTGGTGAGGCTGTGGAAATTGTTTTTCAAGAAGCATTACAGGAATCACAATTATGTGTGTGAGAATGAAGTCACAAAGGAATGGATTAGAAAGCATATTCTGGAGTCCAGCAATGGAACTAAAACGCCTGTAAAACATTGAGGTATGATTTTATTACTGGCATCAATCTTCTTTTTTTTAAAGTGAATGTTTTCCAAAATGTCAAACTATTCCTAAAATATCAAGTAAACGAGGGTAACACACGTCCAATCGTCTAAATTTTAGGCCTTCTCTAAAAAGATGAACATGACTTTACCACATCTTAAAATTTGATACAATTTGATTGTTTCACTTTTAAATGTGTTTTTTGAAAAATTGTATTGATCATGTTGTAACAAAATTGCAGTATGAAACCAACACGGAGTCAATAACTGCTAATGCAAACTGTGCAGCCCAGTTAGAAGCATACAAGTCTCAAAAAAGGTTAGGACAGAGCTGTGTGTACCACTGTGTGGCATTCCCTTCTGTTAAAAAACAGTCTGTAAATATGAGGGAACTGAAGAATACCAGTTGCTGCACTTCTGGGAGAGGAATGTTGTTCCATTCTTGTCTATGTCCGTGTTTTTACATTTTTGAAATTCTTCATTATATATTTTTTATTCATAGAACAGTTTTCCATTTTGCCTCAGTCCAGATGAGCTGTGGCCCAGAGAAGACAACGTTTTTTTCTGGATCATTTTCACATATGGTTTCTTCTAATCATCATACTGTAGAACTTTAACCTTCATTTGTGGATGGCAAAGCAAATTGTGTCCATAGACCTGACCTTTGTCCCTTTATTCAGATTCTCAAAATCATTTTGTGATATTATTTAAAATGTACTATAGGTGTTGAGTTAGTCAAAGTCTTTATTCTGAAAGCCATTATTCTATAATAATGAATAATGAACTAATTATTCTGAAAATTGTTCTACAATTTGTAGATTTTTTTTGCAGACTGATAAATGTCTACCCATCCTTACTTCTGAGAAAGGCTGTCTCTCTGAAGTGCTCTTTTTTATAGCCAATCATGTTACTGACTTGTTGCCAGTTAACCCAATCAATCGCAAAATATCCCTCCAGTAGTTCTCGTAGTGCAATACCACTTTTCTAACATTTTGTTATCCCTGTTCAAACTTTGAGACATGTTACTGCCAACTAATTGGAAAATGAGCTAATTCATCAAATATTAAAATGTCTCAGTGTAAACTTTTTGTTTTCTATTTCTATCTGTTTGAATTCTACTTTATTTATATTTTATATAGCGTTCCAGTTCTTGTGTGGAAGTGGGTTTCTAATAATTTTCAGTTTATCTCTGACTTAAACTGTTGATTTTTTTGTCATGCAACCATTGCTTATAATTCATTGTAATGCAAATATTTACTTGCTCTATCCTGTAAAATGAAGCCATCGGACTGGGAAATCTATATGCATTCATTACTATTAACTGACATATATATAAACTGAAATAATATTCAATAGATAAATGATTGAATCACTAATCAAAGCCTAGTATTTGCACACATTATTAAAAAAAACAAGAAAGGTGTTATCTTTTATAAAGCAGCTGAACCACTGTGTATGCCTCCTAATCTCAATACCAATAAAAATGCTTGACACTCCTGTGACGCACTGTGGATTTATATTAGTGAGGTAAATAATGACCTCAGCAATTGAGTCAGCAGAAATTACTCAAGTGGCATTAAAAAACACTCTTCTTGCCTTAAGCTGGAAAAGGTTTTTATCAGTCTGTGGTCAAAACCACAGGTATTGACAGCTGTTTCCTTTCATAGGAGAATAAAATAGCTGACATATATTTACTGTTAGCACACAACCAGAAATCAATGTAAACCTTATCACAATGCTCTGCAGTAACAATAGCACAATGGTGTGAGGCCAGTCACAAAAACTACACGTATCCAAACAGAGCAGCATTAATTCCATTCTTGCTTCATGTTTGTGTGGATGGTTAAAAGGGCCTTTTGTTAAAATAAGTGTCGAGAAGGCAGAGACGCTGAATTGATAGCCAGCAGCAAATTATCCTGATGGGGTTACCGTTTACAGGGGCTATACAGTGTATGGCTATTTGAATGAGCGCCATTTGTCATTGTCATCGCCAGTGTGGATATATGGCTTGATGAAATTGAAAAATTCCTGTCTGGGCCAGCTCCCCCCAATGCTGAGATTTAGTGGCGATATGTCAGGATTTATCTGCTCCCACTCAGAGAATCAGCTAACATGGTCCGGGGAGACAGCTGGAAAGTTAACTCCTGATAGCTGTGAGGAAAAAAAAAATGGTGGCGGTAGCTAAAGGTAATAGTTCCATTTGGCACATGCTAAGGGGAAAAACATGACCTGAGAACTAGGGAATTTTTAATAGGATCGGAATATCATAACCAATCAGGAACTAAACACATTTTTTTTCAGCCCTGTGTAGCAGTTTCTTACTCTTGTTACTACAGGAAGAGTGCTAAACAAAAAGAGCTTCATGCCCAAATCAGCTCCCTTTCTTAGGTTACAAACTTTTCCTCAACTGTATCAAACTCTGACTCTTCCTTCTCATTTCGTCTCTTTCAGCGTTTTCGACAAAGCAAACCTACATCAGCTACAGCAACCATGCAATCTGAAGGACAAAGGTTGTTATCACGATTCAGGATTTCCGTCCCAGCAAAGAAAACAAAACATGCAGTGGAATTTCAAGCATCCGGCAAAAATAAATAAAGTCAAACAAATTAAATAGATATGTCTTTTTTGCGGGTGGAGATCAGAGAAATATTGCACAAAGACGCGACATTGTGTGGAAAGAGCACATGAGATGCAGGGATGGACAAAACTTGGGACCAGAACAGATAACAGCACAATTTTAAGGTTCTATCTTTGGTCTGCCTCACAAGAATACATACATAAAAGAAAAATGAAAATATTTGCATGGCAGAGGCCTATAGACTGAAGGATGGAGCTTTCCTTTTCTGTGTTTACATTTCAGCTATGCCCTCTTTTAAAGACTTCTCTGTCATCTTTCGCAGCACTGACTGAAACTGAACTACGAGTAAGAATATGTTCAGGTTCTTAATGTCGTCTGCCAGTTTTGTGAATTATAATTAATCTTCAAATCCTCAAGGCATCACAAGGGATTAATCAACACCAAAAAGGCATGAAAACATGGTCTATGGATCTCTGACAGGGGCTTGTGTTTGTTTTTATTTCTAAATGTGTTCTGGTCTCGTGAGTCAAATGACTGGAAATATTGATCGTCACAACAATGCAACAGATCTTTACCAGACTCCATGAATTTTGATTTCCTCTTCCAAGTTGCCGATGAGTTAATAAGAATGACTACACATATAAAATGGTCTCTGCCGATTTTGAGCATGCCAGTTTTAACATCCTGTGTTGTGTTGTTTAAAAAAAACAAAAGGAAAAAAAAGGAATGCGTTTAAACTCTGTTGCAGTGTTGTTAAAAATTGTTTGGGCCTATTGTACGTTAAAAACTGTTCTCAAATGGTGAAGGTCTAGTGAGTGATTGTTTATCTGTGCTACAGTAAGGCCATGATTTGTATTACCAGCTAGCCCAAGGCTGCCACTGCCCTCTGCATATCTGTATGTGCTTTGAAACAGTGGCTCATGGTTAAAATAAACAGTGTTTTAGCCAGGAGATCTCACTGTGAGCTGTTATCCAGGATGACCCTACCACCACTGCCACCAGCTATTCTCACACATTCATAGTGTAAGAGTAAAGCTTAGCTGTACAGATCCATTAGTAGGGGAATTAAGATGAAGTATGCCCTTGAGAGGATCATGCAATATACCCTGAAGGTGATATCCATAATGGACCAGCTACTGAAAAAAAAAAATCATGTCCTCTTCAGGCACTCTTGTGATAAGGAGGAGGTGTCAGGAAGTTGTAAGGCATTTTAGCAAATGAAATTCTAATTGCAAAACTATACAATATCTCTATCAATCACTCCGAGTTGGCAGAACAGATTAAGGGTTGGCTTCGTGCAGTATAAAAGCCCTCTATTGTCTTGGGGAAAATATTGTGGGGTCATTTGTGTTGTGAATTCAATGCTGCTTTTCATGCCTCCCTCTGTATTACTTTCAACACCATTTGTGTTGCAGAATAAAATGTGAGTGCTGACCAAATTAAATGGTAAGTTAATGTATGTTATTAAATAGATTGATGATGTCTGCTTTATGTCCTGACATATCTTAAAATTGGGGAAAAAATACAAAAGGATACAGTGCCTGGCTAGCTATGTATTTGTTAAACCTCATGAAAACTAATGAAGTGTGTGAAGCATGTTTAGTTTTTTTTTTTTTATACAAAATTTTATTTCTATTAAAAATGTTTTAAAACATTATTGTCCATTTTCACATTTCTGTAATTCAAGAAAGTTGAAAATTGGTTTATTATTTTATGTCTTTGTTCAGTTTTTCAACAGGTTATCATTAACGGTTCCTGTCTGGTCTTGTACATATGTTGCTTGAGTTAAAAAAAAAAGAGAGAGAGAAAATGATACATTAGCAAACTTACAATATCCCTAGCTAAATGATTGGCAGCACTTCTGTGTGAGTGAGTGTGTACTTTGTTCCGAATGTAAAGTGTTTGTCCGCCTTGAAGAAAATAAGACAATGGGTGACATCCTCTGAATAATACGTTGCCACAATTGCTCTGATAATAGTGCTGGAAGGACACAGAGTTGGTGGAAGGAAACATGAAATTATTTTAAATGAATGGGGAGCCCCTACTTGTATCCAAGGCCTTTGCATGCAGAAAGCTCTCTGCATCTATCATCTTCTCCACGCCTCCCTGATAGTGTGAGCCCACAATACAACAAAAGGCTTGGAAAATAACAGTCATTGCATAGCAAGAGCAAGAAGAAACAGAGCACAGAAAAATGACGCACTTCAGTACATTATCAGCACATTATTAGAATCATCATTATTAATAGATCTGGAAGAAAACCCATCAAACACCAGTCCTCCATCTCAGTAGGTTTTCTAATGACTACTGGAGATGATCCAAAAAGTAGATCACAAGACATGTTTGTACATCTCTCATGCTTTTAAAAACACAAGCTATAAGCATACACTGTCCAAATGTTTATTACAATTCATTTAAGTTCACCAACAGTGCAGGTATGTAATAAGATTGATCTGATCTACATAACTTGACACCCTATACCACACCTCAGTAAATCCATACATTTAAACTACAACTGATAAAACAATCATTCAATTCAAAAACTGCAGTATCTTCTAAATGGTAAAAACTTCAGTTCGCAAACTTTTAATGTGAAACAGCTGAAGAAGGGCACAGCAAATGGGAGGTGATCATAATGAATCAGTGGTACATTACATGCTGTTTGGAATCATTATCACCAATCCTGATATACTGCTAAATTCAAACCAACAATATGGTGAGAATTGCATTAGTTTATCAGTTCATGACATAAATGATTTTGCATATTTAGCACCAAAACACAGTTTGCAATATGTATGTATGTGTCTGAAAGTGGATCTCTCCTTTTTGATTCTGTTCTGCTTATCAGCAAGTGGTGGCAGTACTATTCCATAAAACGCAGCAGTGAGCCAACTGCAGACAATCAGATCTACATTTTTATGTTTTGTGTTTTCTAAGAAAAGCAAACAAAATTGGACTTTTGCAATGCCTGCCATCAGAGGAATGTTAGGAAAGTCCTTCTGGAGGCAATGAGCAATCTTGAGCTATATGTGTTATTGTAAATGTATGTTTGAACAACTACATTACTGCATCAAATACAGTAACGTAATTGTTGACTGATGATGTCATGGATGTGCTATGAGCATGCAGAGGTAGGACCCAAATGCAGGGCTTGAACACAAAGGTATTAACTAAGGAAGGCAGCTTTTATTGCTGTAGGGCCAAACACAACCTGGCAAACCTGGAACCTGGGAAACTGAACTAAGAAACTAGGAGAAAACTAAGAGTAATGAGCAAAACTGAGGAGCTTGGGGAAACACACAGCCATGTGGAAAACGTGACAACATGCAGAGGAAGACAGAGGAGTAAAATACACAGAGGATAACGAGGGGATGGGAAACAGGAGGGAAACACAGCTGGAGCCAATCAGATTAACGGCACAGGACAGGAGACTATCAAAGTAAAAACAGAAACGTGGGACACACACTAAGACACGGACTGACTGAATACAGGAAACAGAAGAGGTGAGAGACACGACTGGAAAACAGATGAACAAACATGGCGACAGAATTAACATTCATGAAAGACAGGACAGACTACACACTGAACATGGACATAGGGGAGGCAAGTAAACAGAATGAGTAATACAGCTAAAACAAAGACTATAAATCAAACACTGGGTCACAGACCCAGGACCATGACAAGTTATTTTGATCCAATGTCATAATGGTGTCAAGATAATGATTGTCTCTGGCTCACCCCATCAGACTACTTTAACAAATGTCATCCTAAGCAAATAGATAAGTACACTTAAGTGAACTAAGTGTGACATTATCTTTGAGGTAACAAAATATTCCTGACATCAAACATTTGCCAGTGGCAATGATATCTTGCAGCAGGAGTTAAATGCTCTAACCACGGAGTTCCAGTAGAATACAGCCCAAAAATAAGATCAGCACTCAGCACCAAACAACTGAACTCAACACTTATTCTGGTTCTCAACAACAAATCCACCAAACTCGAAGTAGACAGATTTAACCTTTGTTGAGACAGTCAAAGTGTTTATTAGAGAGATAGTTATGTGGATGATATATAATGTCTGACTAATAGAACTTATAATAGCTGAATTCATGATTGATACAAAAGACAAAAAGAAATAAACTTAGTTTAATGATTTTTTCAAGTGATGCTGCAACCAGAATCTTCAGCCCATCAAAGACTTGGGTGTCTGAAATTATGGACTTTCGTCTCAACTTTGCAGGAGACATGCGAGTGTGAATGTGTTATTCTGCCAACAGCTGGCCTGTCCTTGCTTCAATGCGTCTGACTCTGAAAAAACAATATTTGGGACAACTTGAGATGTTGTTCGGCAGCACAGCGGCAAAATACACTCAAGAAAGAAAATTGTGTGGGTGGCCATATCGACACAACTGTCGAGCGATTCAATGCAATCTGCTCAACTGTGTTATTGCAGACAGGGAGATACAAATACTCAGATAAGCATGGGGGGGGTTATCAACACAGGCTAATGATACACGTATGAACCAGTATGACACTAGAAATGTACAACTACATCTCTGATGAGGTGGTCTCATGATATGAATAGTGACAGCAAAATCAAGAAAGTAAGCTTCCGTTTTGAATATAGATCTCTCCTCAGCATTATGTGATCTTAGTAAAAAAGACAGCTGCTTTAGAATAGTGGAATAAATGAATTTCAATGCTACTCACACAATAGGGGAAAATATTAACATAGCGTCCATGCAAACCCCACCATTTGACAACTGGATCATAGAGCAAGCAATAATGCTTTCATATGTTCTTGAAATCATCTTGTCCATGTCAAGTCTTTAAAATGTGTAAATGCAAGACATCTGTCTTTGCTCTGAAAAGCACTGCAAAAGTAATATAATTTGGTTTTAGTCATCAAAAACATTTCATTAAGCATTTAAACTGGATCTGACTGCAGTGGATGGGAAGTGAAGTGCCAAAGCTGAGACAATCCTCATGCAAGTATGAATAGCTGAGCCGATAAAATGTTTATTCACTAGTCCACTCCCGTGTGCACCTCAGAATAATACAATACAACTGCCCTCAGGTGACAGAATGAGTGCAGGAGCACATTTGTCTCGAATTGAGCACCAATATACAGCAGGATTTGAGAGAAGCAATGCAGTGATGCTTTCTCTCTGGGGTCCCGTGACTGGGCTCTCTCAGCTGTGCAGCTATGCTATTGTATACCATCACAAATGCAACACTGACAGGGGCTGCTTTGCTGTAAAAAGCCTGATCTAGAGGCAGCGTCAGTCGAAGAGGCTCAACCAATTCACTGTGGACAGAAACAGAAATGATTGCGTGTATTAAAAAAATAAATAAATACCAGCATGTAACAAAAATAAACTGGAAGTGTTTGAAAAGCTGTCTGTCCCATTTATTTAAACATTTAAACCCCTAACATTTCATTCATCTTTTGTCTTAGTGATCACAGACATGCTACTATAGCTCTTACAGTACACAGTGCATACACTATGTTGCTAGGAAACAGTACCTCATGAATATCCTGCAGTTACTGCGCAATCAAAGGAGTAATGTTCTGATAATGCAGTCACTGCATAAAAGCAAAACGTTGAATATACTCACCAAAATGTGTTACACTGCAGTTTTTTTTGTTTTTGTAGTGTGTTGCATGCAACATTGTAAACAAGACTGCACTGATGCATGTGCTGCACCATCATTTCACTTTTTGTTTAATGCTTCAGAAAGGTACTTTATTTCCATTTTCTCTGCAATGGCAAAAATGTTACTAAAAAGTGTGAATATGTTATCAGCATTAATGCTAGATCTGCATATTGTAAATAAAGAATAAAGAAATTAGAGAAAAGAAAAATACCACACTGCTCTGACAGCCAGTACTTGACTAGAAATGCCAACCAAGTTTCATTAATTCATTCCACTCTGCCAGAAGCATTATTTTACTTGCTTTACTTGCTTATTTTACTTATTTCATTGGGACATGAAGATGTCATTTGCAATTTCAAGTCAGAGGTTAAGGTTTTAAAGAAAACACACTCCTCTGTAACGCTCAATACGTCATCATCTTGACTGTGGAGTCCATTGAACAATATTTCTAATTGAGCCCCAGGGAAGATGAAGAACCAGACAAGTGCTGTAAGTAGAGCTCCCCAGGTTAAAGAGAGACACTGTGGTAATGTGTTTGCCTCTGGGGAGAAAAAAAAAGTGTGAGGAGGTGGGTAAAGTCTTTACAATGAAACTAGGCCATCCTAAAAAGAACAGGGAAAGGCTGTGACAGTAGAATGCAGAGCCTAGTTTACCGCAGCCTGGGTCTCATATTCACCACCAATAATGCTTTCATTTGCTATGCACCACTTCACTCTCTCCTTTTAGCTCAGTCGACCTCAAACGCACAGTGCTGTCTGTTAAATACATCTTCTTAGGTATTCTGTCAGAGAGTCGTTTCACTGCCCAAATCTAGATTTTGATTATACAAACAACGACAGGAATATATTGTATGTTTATGCTGATTCAAAAATGTGGCAGCACTGACATGGCGTTCTTTTAAAATTTTATGTATTTTGTTAATATTTAATGC